ATTTATTGGCACGACTAAGTTTAGGGCATGACTCTGATACCATATTAGACGAACATGACTCCTCACAATGGTATGATATTATCCACTTTGAGCATAAGTTTTCATGACTTTGCTTTGAGCTTCTACAAAAAGTCTTGTCACAATGAAAAGAGTATTATTTGATTATAAACTCATGATTATTAGCTGTGAGACTTTCATTCATCATCCAACCGAGATAACCGTCATGGTTGTTTAAATGAACAAATTTCGAAGTTTAATAAAATGAATTTAAGAACTACCGATTTCTTTACACTATTATTTCAATGGTAATATTTCAAAATAATTAAGGTTACATTTCAAATGCTTTTAGTAAATATATAAATAAATAAATAAATAATATTTCTGGGTTATTTGGGGACGGAAGAAAAATAGATACAGAAGCTTCACTCCTCCGGACAAGAAGCTTTCCGCCTGCAATTCCGTTCTCCAGGATATGGCTTCCACTCCCACCGGGTCCACCGGCGCCGTCGAAGATGACCGTCACCTTGACCACCAAGACTCCATAAAATTCGGCTCAAGCGAGGCACTCGAGCACATTCGAACCCTCACCGACGTCGGAGCCATGACCCGTCTCCTTCACGAGTGTATTGCGTACCAGCGAGCCCTAGACCTCAATCTCGACAATCTTCTCTCTCAACGCTCCGACCTCGACAAACAGCTCGTCCAGCTTCAGCGCTCTGCTGAAGTCATCGGCATTGTCGAAGTAGATGCCGACTACATGCTCTCTAATGTCACATCCACCTGCGACCTCGCCGACCAGGTTAGCGCCAAGGTTCGCGATCTTGATCTGGCTCAGTCGCGGGTCAATTCCACCTTACTTCGCATCGACGCCATTGTCGAGAGAGGCAATTGTATCGAAGGTGTTAAGAAAGCTCTCGATTCTGAGGATTACGAATCTGCAGCCAAGTATGTGCAGACTTTTCTGCAAATTGATGATAAGTACAAGGATTCCGGGTCGGATCAGAGGGAACAGTTGCTGGAATCGAAGAAACAGTTGGAAGGAATTGTCAGGAAGAGGCTCTCGGCGGCTGTAGATCAGCGGGATCATCCCACGATCTTGCGATTCATACGGCTTTACTCTCCGTTAGGTTTGGAGGAGGAAGGGTTGCAGGTTTATGTGGGGTACTTGAAGAAGGTGATTGGAATGAGGTCTAGGCTTGAATTTGAGAATTTGGTAGAGCTGATGGAGCAGCAATACCAGACTCATAATGTAGGTAGTAATCAAAACCAAGTTAATTTTGTTGGAGGCTTGACAAATTTGTTCAAGGATATTGTTTTGGCTGTAGAAGAAAATGATGAGATCTTAAGGAGTCTCTGTGGTGAGGATGGGATTGTATATGCAATCTGTGAACTTCAGGAGGAGTGTGATTCACGTGGATCTTTAATATTGAAGAAGTATGTGGAATATAGGAAACTAGCTCAGTTGTCGTCTGAAATCAATGCTCAAAGCAAGAATTTGTTAGCTGTCGGTGGAGGACCAGAAGGACCTGATCCAAGGGAAATCGAGTTATACTTGGAAGAATTGTTGACATTGATGCAGTTAGGTGAGGATTACACTGAATTCATGGTCTCGAAAATTAAGTGTTTGAGTTATATAGATCCAGAGTTGGTTCCTCGAGCTACAAAGGCTTTCAGAAGTGGAAGTTTTAGCAAAGCGGTTCAAGATATCACGGGATCTTACGTGATTCTAGAGGGATTTTTCATGGTAGAAAATGTGAGGAAAGCTATCAAGATCGACGAGCTGGTGCCTGATAGTCTTACAACTTCTATGGTGGACGATGTGTTCTACGTTCTACAGAGTTGCTTAAGACGTGCAATATCCACTTCGAATATCAGTTCATTGATTGCAGTTCTGAGTGGTGCTAGTAGTCTATTGAGCAACGAATACCAAGAGGCATTACAGCAGAAAATGCGAGAACCAAATTTAGGTGCAAAACTATTCTTAGGTGGCGTTGGCGTACAGAAGACGGGGATGGAGATCGCAACAGCTTTGAATAACATGGATGTGAGTAGTGAATACGTTTTGAAACTCAAACATGAGATTGAGGAGCAGTGTTCGGAGGTATTATACTTCACCTTTACCATTTGCTTCAAAGTTAACTACTATTATTGTTCTATATTGCACAACTTATTTTTGTTTTTTCACTTTTAGTTTTCATTGTTTATTGTTTAAAAGGTAGGTTAGGATTGCAAGCCCAGTTTATTAACTTTGTAATCTGTTGTGTGAACTTATACCCTTGGCAAATGAGTGTTGCTTTTGAAATTGCGTAGTTCATTGTCATGCATCTGATAGCAATACCATATATAACTATAACAGTTTATTATTAGGCTGTAGTTTCCCCATCTGATGTCCAGTTTTAGTTTCACTATTCGAATCTAATATATCCCTTAGTTCTGTTTAAATGTAGTTCAGTTATCAGGTGTGCAACATTCTTAATCTGGTTATTGTCCCTAAGCCTAAAATTATGCGTGACCTTGAAATTGGTAGCTTGGAAAAGAATACTAAAGCGCCTACGAACTGCGGTCCAATAATAGGAGCCAAACCACAACTTGAACTAAATATACAAAAGAGGCTCAAATAAAAAATAATAAGGTCTAAAGGGCAATTAAAAGAATCTTTATTTACAAATTCCTGGAAAATAGTCACAAACCAGACTCAGTCCCCCAACTCTATACTTTTGGTACTCTCATCACATGTTTCACATTTGGAAAACGTTCAAAGCATGAATTTAGTGAACATGAAATTGAACTGATAGACATACGATTCTGGAACTGTGGGATGGAGATCTCATAAAAAAATTTGTAATAGAACTTCTGAATGTCAAGACTGTCAAAACTCTTTGACTAGTTTCTATCTAAGAAATTCTACAATCAGTTTCGGGGTTGAAAGGAATCAACGGTGCACTAGAAAAACCTTTATTTATTTTGTTTGTTGATGAGAGATGAGTGTTTCATTCAAGAAGAAAGAACAAAAGAGAAACACCTAACAGGCCAAGGGCCAAGAAGTCCGTTTCCTGAAGGCTAGAGCTTACAGAAACATCTTCCAATCTAAGTTGATGAGGGAAGTAGTGTAGTTACCAACAGATTTGTGTTGGCTACTTTAATTAGAGGCCATGAGCTGTACAAGATCACAAAAGTGAGCAAAAGATTGTACATATCTTTAAAAATTATAGCATTTCTTTCTTTTGAAATTAACCACATAATAGCCTTCACGATGTTGGACCACAACAACATCTTCACCTTTCCTTTCAGACTCCAACCAGTTAGTGATTACAACATCCAGTCTTCAATGTGCCTTATAGCTTATTCCACCCAAGCCAGCGGATTCCCAAAGAATCTGAAAGTTACTGTGTGGAAAGAGATGAGATAAATCTCTTCACTCATTGCATAAAACATATTGTTTGGGGAGACCTGAAGGCGAGGAAATCTCCTTTGCAACTTGTCAAAAGTATTGATGCCATCCGGGGCTACTGATCCACAGAAGAACTCGACTCTCATAAGAACAATTTCACTCCAAATGGCCGTATGAAAAAGGAAAAAAATCTTCTGCTGCACGATAAGCAAGCTTAACCGGAAAATATTGAAAATTATTGCTCGGTCTCAGCCTTATCTAGTGTAGAATTCAGTGTTTAGATGTTTAATCTGATCTTTGAGAGCAAGTAACCTATTTTTTGCATCTTCTTTTAGCTGCATTCGATCTAATTAGAATGTATCTTATCATGTAGTATTTTAGAATCAAATTGATCTGGAAATTAAGCTTGTTTTACTTTATGCTGACTGTGTACTTCCTCTTCCAAAGTTGATTGTGTATTTTCTATGTCTGGGTTGAATAATTTGGCAACGACGCAGTGACAGTTGTGAGTTGACATCTTAACTGTTTTCTACTCTCTCATATCTGGTCCATCGCTGTAATTAATAACATCAGTTGAATAACTTGGCTTACTGTTCTTTTGTTCCATATGAATTCTCCCCGTGCCTAGATTTGTACTGTTTATTTTGTAGTTTTATTTCCAAAATATGTAACACAAGTGGAGTGGAACCGTTTTTCCCAGGTATTTCCTGCACCTGCGGACAGAGAAAAAGTGAAATCATGCTTGTCTGAATTAGGCGACATGAGCAACACTTTCAAGCAAGCTTTGAATGCTGGCCTGGAACAATTGGTCGGGACTATAACACCTCGGATTCGTCCTGTTTTGGATACTGTTGCAACAATTAGCTACGAACTATCGGAAGCTGAGTATGCTGATAACGAGGTGAATGACCCATGGGTCCAAAGACTTCTCCATGGTGTGGAGATAAATGTGGCATGGCTTCAGCCTCTAATGACTGCCAACAACTACGACTCGTTTGTGCATTTGGTGATTGATTTCATCGTTAAGAGACTCGAAGTGATTATGGTGCAGAAGAGATTCAGTCAGCTTGGAGGGCTTCAACTTGACAGAGATGCAAGGGCGTTGGTAAGCCACTTTTCCAGCATGACTCAGAGAACTGTAAGAGATAAGTTCGCTCGTCTCACTCAAATGGCCACAATTCTCAACTTGGAGAAGGTTTCAGAGATTCTAGACTTCTGGGGTGAGAACTCAGGACCTATGACTTGGAGACTTACCCCTGCAGAGGTTAGGCGTGTGTTGGGTCTTAGAGTTGACTTTAAACCTGAAGCTATTGCTGCTCTTAAACTATGAACCCTTTTTTTTTCTTTTGTATACTCACAATATTACCTGATATTCTTTGGTTATTTTCTGTTAAGAAATTCCTCTCTTGGCTTCATCTTGGCTGCTATGATGCAAACAATTAGAAAACATGCATTGTAAAATGGTTTGATTATTCTATTTTATGTGGATTACCAAGTGTCAACAGACCTCAATTCTATATATCTATACGATATGATACATACTTTTGTATTTTTTCGTCCCACGATACATTCAACTTACCGTTATGCTACAAATAAGAAACTTTAAAACTTCAAATAATGCACTTCAAGCTCTAGCTACAAATTTTAAAGTATAGCTTCAATACATGCTCACATCAACTGATGAATCTACCTATTTTCAAAGCCATCACTCTATTAAATTGTTAACGATCCCATCATGGGCACCGAGCTAAGGGGTAGTTGAACTACCCAAGCGCCCTACCTTACTACAACATAGGGACATGAGGGAGAAGGTTGTAAAGGTGGCCTCGTTATACACACCTCTAGTTGAATGAATGGAGGATTGACTCGGATTTTCATGAGCGTTGGCAAGTCCTAGAGTGCCTATCAAGGGCTCCCGCGCATACCCAGGATGATCATCACCACATGCACCTCACATCTCGGTACAGTGGAACAAGTAATCCGCCTGCTGTCTCACTCAACTACATTTGTTCTTGTAATCCATAGTCTAACAGAATGCAGCAGCGAGGGGCAACCTACCCATATAGCCAATGGGGAGGATAAAACTACTCACAAAGATCGTCTGGCGAAAACACCACAGGCCTAGATTATTAACGATCCAAATCAAAATGATTATTTTTAAAGTTTAGGAATCAAAATAGATACTTGAAAGTATTGAACCAATGTAAAAATCTGTACCAAAATGAGATTTATATCTTACTGTACATACTCTGGCACAGTACATCAACAACTTTTTATCTGTTGTAAGACCTTAGACCACATAAAGGTGCCAGCCACGTTGAAACACAAAGATGAAACCAAAGCATTCCAGACAGAAAGTTCAGGCAATTGGCCTTGGCTAATCATTTCTTCCAAGCACATCACTGCTTTATATGGTTTTCCAACCGAGCAAAGACCTCTGATAAGTGTATTGAATGTGTTAGAACAAGGCCAATGTGATTTGATAACCATTTCCTCCAACAACTTGCATGCTTCAGTGTATCTATTTTCACGACAAAGACCATGTACTAAAGTGCTATAAGTTTCCTTGTCTGCAACAAGACCGACCTGCTTTGCCATTTTCTTCAAGAACTCCATAGCCACTGTTGACTTGCCTGCCCTACAAAGACCGTTCAGAACGATGTTATACAACGCAACGGTTGGAACACAACTTCCCTTCACCGTTTCCTCTTCAATTACCTTCACTGCATCATCAACTTTTCCTTCTTTGCATAATGCAGCTGCTTTCGCCTCATAGACTGAGGATGGTGGCCAAAAGCCTTTAGCTAGCATGTGGCTAACAACTTTATCTCCCTGATCAGTCTCGTTTTCGTTATATAGATCGATAGCCATGGCACAGTAACTATCTGAACTGGGAATTCCACCTTTGATTAAAGCTTCATTGATTAAACACTTGATTTCCGTGACGGTGAGCTTGCTAATCCTGCAGTAGTTGAGGTCAATCAAGTAATGAGCTCGCTTAGGGGATTTCAGTCCTTTCTTCAAGATCTTGCCTAGTATTTCCACAGCTTGCTCAATCTCTCCATTATCACACAAAGCAAACAGAAGGGTTCTGTAAATTACTATGTCCCCTCCGCTACCCTTTCGAGAAATCCTCCAGAACATGGAATACAATAAATGGATGGCCTCATGAAGCTTACCATCTTGACACAGTCCTTTCATTAGAATCAAATAACTCAGCCTATTAGGATAGCAACTTTGGTAATCCATTTCTTTAAAGACATGTAAAGCAAGTTCAGATTGGCCTCTTTGACAAAGAGATTGCATTAGCAAATTCAATGACTGAGTCCTGGATTTCACTTCCCAACCAAATGAACTCTGCTGAAAAAGCTGACAAGCAGCATCGAGCTGAGATTCATTCAAGAGTATTTCCAAAAGGGTATTGAAAGTTTGTGTTCTATCGGTACAGTTAAATCCCCCAAGGCTTTTAAACAGAGATATACCTTCTTCCAATAATCCATGACTAGCATACGTTTTAATTGCAAATGAAAATATAGAATCCTTGCACTGACAAGAGTCAACTTTCATCTGATCTATCACTTCCCTCATCTCGGAAATTCTGCCCGAGTTTCCAAGTATATTGATCATTGCGGCGTACACCGGACCATTGTGCTGATAATTTGGATACCTACATTTGGCTTCATTGAACAGTTGGTAAGCTGTGAAAGGATTGTTCTGTTTCCTAATAATCTGAGACAGGTGTGTGGGCGTTAAAAGCCTTGGCCACCTAACAGTCATAGCTACTTAATCAAGAACATGCTAAAGTTTGAACCAAGTGCCCAAAATCTTACCGAACTGCAGCGAAAATTCAAGAGAAATTTGACAAATTTTAGACATGGCATTTTGACAAACATGTTATGTGCAGAAGGAAAGTTCAGAGCTCCGGAAATTACCAGTTTAGTGGGATTTTCTGTCTTCACCTCAAAATCAACTCTTGCGCCTGAAAAAAAATGTTATTCGATCGAACTTGGCTAAGAACATAGCCTCCTCTTTTTTATAGAGACGGAAAAGAAAGAGTGGTGGCGGGGGCGTGCCGGTGGTCGGCGACGGCAACACAGAGAAGAATACAAGAGAGGAAAAGAGAAATAAAGAACGAAGAAAGATGGGTTGACGTGTGGATTGCAGTATAGGGTTTACCTTTTTTATTTTTTGGTAAATGGTTTTTGTTTCAAGTAATAATAATTAAAGAAAAACATATATTTATTATTTTTTTTTTTTTAAGTTTGGAAGATAAAAAAAAAAAAAAAAAAAAAAAAAAAAAAAAAAAAAAAAAAAAAAAAAAAAAAAAAAAAAAAAAAAAAAAAAACTAAAATAATAATACCCTTAAATTTCAAAAAGTTTTATTATTATTATTATTATTATTATTATGATTTTAATGTAGAGCTCCAAGGAATTTGAAAGGATCCAAGTGTCACGGTCATGATTATCCAAAACGTGTTGTTTGTGGCCACAGATGTTCTGGTCATGCTTCTCCAGGACATGTTGTCGATGGCCGCATGCCCGTTCCAAACCCCTCTTACATGCTGAACGTTCACCAAAATCATGTTTGCACCCGATAGGGCTAAAACCAAAATCATGTCTATATCCGCTAAGGCTAAAATGGTCCAAAATATACTATAGGAGATTTGACTAATTGTCACTCCTTCCTACCCTGATTTATATAGGTTATTTAAGTTGCGGTGTTCCTTTATTTGCTTATAGTTGTCTTCTTCAATTCTTTCAAATCGTTTTCAAATGTATTTCCTCACTCATGTGGACAACGTCCGTGCCTCAAGTCACATTTGCAAGAAATATTTTAGAAAACATTCAAATTTGGAGAGAGAAACGAACCAGAGGAGCATTCTTTATAAGGGTATGAAAACTCTCCTTAGCAAAAAAGTCCAAAGAGGACAATATCCGCTAGCAGTAGGTTAGATCGTTACATAATTTCTCATGGTTGACTTTTTTTACCGAGTTAGAACAAACGTCGTACAATCGTTGTCCCGCTCGTTATAGTAGCACAGATTCCCTACCGCCAGCCATGAGCAACTTTATGACAGAAACCCACAGAAAAGAAAGAAGAAAATTCAAAAGGTAGGAAAGACATGAAATTATTAGGAGGCTTTGGATTCCATACACAGTCTGGAAAGAGGAAAAGAGGTGATATTATGGTAAGCCAGAGAATCCTAATAACCAAAAAGAACCCCAACTGATAATGATATGTGAAAGAACAGCAGAAGAACACCCAATAATTTTGCTCAAACATATTACACAGATATCTTTTTCTAACTAATCCCACTCCTTCTTCACCAACCACAAATTGTGAAGCTCAAAAGATATAAAATCAATCTTTTGAACCCTTCACTGTTAATCATATCGAAACAGGACTGTGTCGTAGGAGGCTACGTGCTTCCCCGACACGATCGTCTTGTTGCAGTCAGAACGAAACACGGGAAGAATCCAAACCCTTCATTTGGTTCCCCGTCTTTTCGCATAATACATGAATGAATAAAATTCTTAAGCTAATTGTTCTAACAAACTAATGGCAGATGACCAAACGTAAATAATGTTGATACTTGATAGAGATGGGATATGCTTGTTACCGACGTTTTCATGAGCGACTTGACGATGCTGGAACGTGAATTTCCTTTTCCTTTTCCTTTTCCTCATCCTTCTTATCGAATCACACGACTTAAAAACTTGCCATTGTTATTCAGTATTCAAGCTTTGTCGATGTGGTTAGCGTGTGACAACAAGGCATTTGTGTCATCCAGTTGAGATTACCTCGGAAGAATTCGGTTCAGTTGCTACCGCAGAAGAAGTTTGTAAAGGCCCCGATCCTCCAACTGCCATTGTCGTCGTCGACGTTGTTGCACCTGTTACATTCACTTTCAAAACCAACATGCTCTAAACGAATGACATTCTTTAGATAACAAGGATTAGATTACAAGCATCACCTGCACTGGTTGTTCCTGTTGCGGTCGAGACAGGCAGTGATAGAATACCAGTCGAACTGTGTTGCTGAGGAAGATACGGGTACTGCATTAGGTGTGGATACTGGACTCCGAACTCATACCCCTGGCTACTTTGAGCGTAATACGGATAGAGATTTTGAAACATTCCAGCTGGTCCCGGAATCACGTTTGCAGAGTAATAAGGAGAAAATTGTTGGCCACCATAAACACCATAATAGTTCTGCTTACAAAACACGACCAAGCTCAGATCAAATCAATGCTAAGAACATTACAAACACAAACCAACATTAAAACATTCGCACCATTGGATAAATCCTGTCTTGTGAGTATCCAGAATAGCTGAAATTCGGCCAAAAGAACCAAGAAGAACAGATTGAATCAAAAAAACATGGAAATTGAGAACTTGGGTTTGTTCATGCATTAATGATTCCTCTTGCAACCTTACCCATAAGCTGAAAGAGGGAATGGATACTGAGTAGTGGGCTGATGAACATAAGACGATGAAGAAACATGATAAGCAGGAGGGTTCACAATCCCAGATGGACCTCTAGATCTTCCACCACCACCTGCAAATTTGTTCAATCTTTTGGTGTTAATCTTTGAAAAACATGGCTTCCTTTGTTTGTTTAGATTTCAGATATCCCTCCACAACAAAAAACACAGATTCAGAGGCCTCCATTGAAGGAGTCATCACAGGTTTTGGAAGAGGCAAAATATCAAACACCTTGCATGCATAAACTAATATGATCCATTTAAGAGACGAAAACAAAAAGAAAGAACAATAAAGAACCATGTTGAGGCTTATGGGCACCAAGGGAAGCAAGATTGCAATTAGCCCTTCTTCCATCGATCACAGGGGAAGGGTTTTGACAAGCTCTAATGGCAGCATCAGGATCCTTAAATGTGACCTAAAAAACCCAGAAGAACACCAAATGAAATCCCCATTTCGACAAAGAAAAAACGGAAGGGGAAAGGGGACACTTACAAATCCATAGCCCTTCGATCTGCCAGTGTTCTTGTCAGTAATAACAACAGCTTCCAAAATCTCACCAAATTGCTCAAAAAACCTTCTCATTGTATGCCGCTGAGTCTCCCAAGCCAAGCCTCCAACGAAGATTTTGGTGAAAGTGGTATCATTGTATTGGCCGCCAACGCTATTATTGCTATGAAATGGCCGCTGCTGAGACATAAGGGCAAAATATAGAGAGGGAGAGAGAAGAAACACAAAAAATCTGCCTCTCTCCCAGAAAACAGAGACCCAAAATGCAGAGAAGAAATCGAAGCCGGAAGAACACGCACAAGTTTTGAAGAACAAATCAATGGATTCCCATTTTTCTCTCACGATTTTATTTAATTTTTTTTTTAGGGTAATCTAAAAACTACCCGTTTCTCCACATACACAAACGGCGACAACTACCCAGATTTCTCAAACAGCGACACCATTAATGAGAAAATCATTACTGTTTTGGGATGAAATTTTGTTTAAAAACAGCACAACAGCAAAATAATGTGTATTTATATTTGAAATGAAAGGGACATTATAAGATATATCTAAAGACAATATGATATCGATGAAGAACAGCGAGAGAGGGAAATTAGAGAAGACAAAAAAGCTGCTAGTGGGTTCCCACGCACCACGACAGCGCCTCAAGAGAGATTTTGGTGATACCCAAAATGGAATTTTTTAGTCTTTTACTATTATATATTTGCTGGATTGGTCTTGGTTACCCTTTGCTTTGCTGTATCTCTCTCTCCTCTCCGTCTCTCCTCTCTCTCCTACTTGTCTAGTTTATGCTTTCTTTCAAAATTTTGTATTTAATAGGTTTGAATGTTTAGTAAACTCCCTGAATTTATCTTTTTTTTTTATTTTTTATGGGTATGATTCTTAGAGCTCGATGAACCATTTTTGAATTGAATCATTTGGCTCAATCTAGAGGGGATAAGTCTTATAGTGTTGATCTAAAACCTTAGATTTCACGTCTAGATTTGTCCTTGTTGGTCTTTTACTCACTGGGGCTCAGCTAGGTTCCCTTGGGTTGGCCTAGCTAAATAGGGTCAGCCTTGGTCTGCGTCTGAGCTAACTTTTATGGGTTGTGTCTTGGATTTTTTTGAGACTTCTCTCGGGTAGAGAGATTTTTGAAAAAATGTTTGAAAGCAATGTTATAAGCTATAAGTGAGGTAGAGAACACAACCGTTTAAATAGCATATAACTCTTGGTATGAAGAACTAACAACTAGTCATATCTCTCTATAGTATATTTTGAGACATTTTATGTCTACCAGACGTAGACTTAGAAGATACAAAAAAAAAATGGATGAAAACGATAAAGGAAAGCAGTAAAGTGATACAATACAAGAGATTTGGTATGCAACGGGTATACAGCCATGGACAACATACCTTGGACAAGCATCATCGTGACATATGGTATGACGTGTGAAGAAGATACCTCGAGAGTAAGACTCACCCATCATTTCATTTTTCTTTCACTTTCTTAAAGTTGATTTCTTTTTTCAATGGTATGGTTGGATGAACTTGGAATAGGATGTTATTATGAGTATCCAAAGCCAAAACGTTGAAGCTTTTGGGTATTAATAAATATTGATTGTGAGTATCCAAAGCCAAAATAGTGAAGCTTTTGGGTATTAATAATTGATGGGTAACGCTTATTTATGTACTCAGATTCAAAAAGGTTATAATCTTTTGACCGACCGCGTCCTGTGCACAAAATGCAGAGTTCGTTACATACACGATGAAGATAGAGTGTGGATGACTTCATATACCTCGAAGTCGTAGAGTTGCATGTCCTAACTCATTTAGTACACATAAATTATTCGATCAAACCATTATGATGTGACTGACCGTTTCGAATCGTTGAATGTAAGAGAGAGAAATTATAAAAATGTTTCGATTTTTAATGCAATAATTATTACTGACATATATATTTTTGAATTGACTGTTATTAAGAGACAGTCACATTGTAGCAATCTCATTGAATAATTTATCATCGTTGCAAGGCTCGATGTTCGAGCATCTTAGAGTCCATATGAGAGGCATTTCAAAAGCCATGGGTTGGAATTCTTGTTGAAGCGGATAATGGAGGAGAGATTTCTCTCCCTTGACTAAACAGGACGAGGATGAAGATTATATTGTACAAAATTTAAGTTTTAAAAAAAAAAATTATTAT